AACTTTATGTTGATGTGGACATTTCCTTTTATCTAGCCTTGTTTCAGGAAAAAACCATATTTTGCATCGTAAACCTTTCTTCAAAAAAAAGTTGTCAACACTTTTATTCCATTTGTTTGACATCATATATCTTTCTCCTATCTTAAACTTCTTCATTTCCACTTGTCATTAAATTCGAATATATAACACTTTATCCGTTATTTTCTTTTTATTTATTCACTTTCAGTCCAATTCTCAATGGTTATTTTACTACACTTGTCTAATGAATTTAAATTAGTCGTAAAGTGAAAATAATATAATGAATGAAAAATTTAGTTGAAACTGTCCCCTTTCATAATGAAATTCATTAGTGGATTGTATTTCACTTATCTTTATGGGTGAATGTAAACGCCTCAAGATTTCATATAAGTAATAAGATTAATAATTGTTTTGAATGACGGCATTCACAAACTTCACTTTATTTTCTTGTGATAGGCGATGACTTTTAGTTTAGAAAAATAAATAAAAGGCAACATCGAACAAAAGATTTATAATAACCGTCTTATTTTTTTCTTAAAGTTAATCAGTTATATTGAAAAGTGTCAGTTAAATTAATAATGCGCTAAACAGTAAACAAATAAACAGTAACAAAACACAATTATTTGATTAGCTTTGTTAGTTGACAATCCAAGTGAAAAACATAACGAAGTTATTCTAGTGAGTCCCTGTTAGCTTTGTTTTGAAGAAGCCATTAGATATAAAACATGTGAACCAATAGTCAATTGTTTACTTATAATTAAATTTTTTGTAGAATTATTCCCAGTCGTTTGTTAATAATAAATTATATTTCGGCATTTTTGGTATTCGATTAGGCTAATTTGTAGAGAAACTGTGAATATGACTTTCAGTTATTGAAGTTTCATGTAGATAAGAGCATTAATTTGAGTTCGATTTCTCTTCTTAAAAACCTAGTGAAATAATTGCTATAAACCAAACTAAGTAAGATGTCATCTGAAGATAGTGTTATGCAGCAATATGTTTTCAGCCAGGTAAATACAGTATTTTATAGGTAAACAGTTTAATTCTCCAGTTATCTTGCAAAATACGGAATAGTTTAGCTTCTGAATAATTTACTTCAACAACAAATGAAATAATCTCCAGGTTACAATACATGCCAATGAAAGCTTTCCAGTAATAAATTTTATGATTTGGTTAAGTTTGAATAACACCAATCATTCCTTGAGAATATACATACACTAAACGCAAATGAAAGACTCCTGGTTTTATTTCGTGTGGGCTTCATGTTGACAGGCTTTCATTTATGTGGTATAAAACAGCTATAGTGGGTCAGTAGTTCTGACTTCTGAGAAGACATACCGACTCTACTATAAATCAGTCATCATGAATGTTTTGTTGTTAGTTTACGACTGGATATCTTCAAATCGCTGAGTCTAGAGTTTGAGTTATTTCAATAAAATTCTGAAGCAGTAGAAGGGATATATGGTTCACATTTATTAGCGTCTTTTGCAAATACCTGGAAAACCGGTTTACTGTCCTTCATTTTGCACAACAGTGTCATAGTTGATAATTATTCAGTTCCCCTGAAATAGTAAGATAAATCATACTTAAAAAATATTACTAGTCAATCAACTGAATGAAATTAAAATGCATAAACTATTCACCTCTTGATCCATGAACACACTGCATTTAACTATTTTACAAATATTTGTAGCAGTAAATTTCTACATTTTCATAAGGGTTAACGTATTTTTTCTTGTGAATCTATCCAAAAAATTCAATTTGAAAAGATACTGTTTATTATTTGATCATCAAAACTTTCAAATGAAGTCTATTTCACTTTTGAGATGATAAGATTGTCTATAAATATGAAAACGACTAACGCTAACAAACAGAAAGTAGGAATTTGTATTTCACTTTATAAGGATTTCTAGGGCAATGTTGTACGGTATCTAAGATGAAATAGTTTTTAAAGTATCTTTGTGATAATTTCTAATCGTTGATCTGTCCACTGCTCGACAATTTTATGTTATTAAAAAGTTTCAGGTTTGCTTAAAATAATGTATTATATCGGAAAGTGATGGACTGAAATAGTCTAGAATCAATATTAGTATATCCACTTCATTGCAGAGTGATACCTTGAAATTATATTTTTATTCGACCACAAATATATTCACTTGTGACTGAAGTTAAATATAGCCTTTCCAAAAACAACATTACAATATTTGAAGCAGGAAGTAATTTATCAAAAAAAACAATCATCCGTTTTCAACTTGATACTTTTTTATTCTGGAAGTGGCCCATCTGATAGTTCTAATTTGGTTAATGTAGACATTCATAAATACACAACTAAAGTTTTCTGTATCCATCAGACTTTTGAGTGGTTTATTGCCTATCTAGAGGTAAGCTGGCATATATGAAGCAACGATGGAAAAATCTTTACAGTACGTTATATGTCTCTTAAATGCATCACCTTATACTTTTCGTTTGACTGAGAATGAGAGATAAGATAAATAAAATCATTTCCCTTTTCTTTCGGGGTCTAATCAGAGATATTGAGTTTTTAGCTCAACAATATTTAAAAACATATGAAAACAAACGTTTGCCCTTATTAACTTATGCACTCGGTGGGACTACAGAGGTACACATCTGCTTATTACAGGACAAGCTCAACCTAAAGCCATACTCCCTGTGATACTTTATGTACGGGAATTATGGACATTGAAATCAGAAAGTTGTTCGCAGTAGATACCTTTAGGATGCGACTTTTATAAATTGGAATATCGAAGCTAGAACTGATGAATATAGTAATATAACGATATATGGATGAATTATTAGGGGATTTCTTTGAAAATAATGGCAACGTACGTTACTTATACTCAACCACAGTCTACTATTACTCTACGCTGACTGATACAGAAATAGCTTAGGAAATCAAACCAATTTATGACAATTTGAAAACTCGCTCTCAGTATGAATCATGTAGGATTTTTTGAGATAGGGATGTATTATAAAAATAATCGGTTGTCAAAGCCTTGAGGTAGCATCTCACAAAACGTTTTGTGGTTTTATAGTTTCACCCCCTATATATATAGCATTTAGAAGACCTTTATGTTTGGACCTATGAAAGTGAACTGGTTTGACGTTAGAAAAAATATAATACACGTCTAACCGTTTGGTAATTAGTATACAACAAAGAACAGCTAATGAAATGTTTGGTAATGCACTAACATACAATTTAACAGAAGGCATAAAAACTTAACAGCATTAACCAAATACACAGACAAATTGTCATATTATTTGACATGGATTTAAGATTTCAAACAAACTAACCGCTTTCACATGTAACCTTTGAAGATTCTTACAGGGGTTAGATCATTAAATTTTAAAAAGCAAATATTTACTTTGTAAGAAGACATTCTAATAGGTTTGACGCTAATGAAAATTGATCTTAACTTTGAGACAGGTTGATCATTCTAAACTGATCAAGTAATTTGTAACCTATTATATGCACAGATCTCATTTGTCCTTGTCAGTTATTCACCATTAACATTGAACGACTTTATATATATGTGTGCATATTTATGCCTCTACATGCTTAAATTTTAAACATCGTCTATTGTATCGAAATAATCTACTAGAAGAAGCTAATGATATCATGGAAGGCAACTGAAGAGGGATTGAAGGAGTGGTAACGCCAACATATTAGAAGATGCTGGACCCTAAAGTGCACCAGAATAAACAATAGATCTCTGTAGTCAGTCTGGGTAGGATTCAAGGAAGGAGGAACAATAAGACAACAGCCTAATACACTGAAGCAAACAAATGAATGAAGAAGGTCATTTGAACTGACAGGTGGGAATATGCAGAAGACCGAGCAAATACAGCAGTACAAGCTGTAAGAGGAGGATATAGGGAAGAACTATATGATGCAATGAACAGGTCAAGAGGGAAATAAGGGAAACCAGAACAACCAGTCAGGAACAAAGAAGAAAACCTAGTTACTGAGGTTCAAGGGGAACAGAACAGGTGGGTAGAACACTTTGAATAACTCTCGAATAGACTATCACTACTGAACTCACTGGACATTGAGGTAGATATTGTATACATAACAACAAATTCAGGTGAGGGCAGTCAGAACATAGGAAAGTTAGGTAAAAACCTCTCTGAGCATTTGCAAGTGTAAAAGCAAGACCCTAAACTGTAAAATAGCAAGCACTAATCAAGTCACAATTAATGGCAAAACCTCCATGTACCTAGGTATCACCATTGATAAACAAAGAGAATATGATGCTTTCAAGGCCAAAAGAGGAGAGGCGAACAAAAGACAACACAACGAATTGGAGGGGAGCATCAAGACCATAAATAACACTCGACAACAACTGAAAAAGAAAGTCCAGAACAGAGTTATTAGGAAATCTCTGGTCGGTGACCTATAGCCTAAGATGGGTAGCAGGCTTATGTAGGCAATTGAGTAAGTTAGTAAGTGTGTACGTAATTATGTAGGTACACAGGCAGATAACTAAGAAGTACTAAGACTAAAGGTCTAATATTGAGATAAACATTTACCATTGTTAGTTCAAAAGTGTTTTAGGTTACTGCAAGCAATTCTCTAATACATTACTAGAAGTGCTTTTTCAAGATCATCCAAGGAGTGGATATGTTGTCAATTTAACCGTCACACACTGGCGATAGGGTCCTACATAGTAGTCGTTTGTATATCTACAAATGGCTGAGTGTCGCATTTATTGTGTCAATACATAATTTTTCGAATAAATAGTTTTAGCTTTCTTTATTCTGACTCACAAAAGTAATTACCATTCAGGGTAAATCTGTGGAACAATCAACTTAGCCACTACTTATCCAGTCTTCTGACATTACGATTTTTAACTTATACACGTTAGCTCTGAAATCGCCACAATATCATTTAGATGCTTCTAATAACTGTCAGTTTCTTTCTTAAGAATTAACTTGAGATAACTAAACAAAAATATCATTATAAGTACATACCACTTGAACCAATTAATGTATTATAAAGTCACAGAGTTTTTTGTATTTGTCGTAGAGGCACAAACAATAGAAAAACAGCATAAAGAAACAAACAGAAAAAGATAAATTATTGAGTTAGTGATTATAATTATGTACATGATACCATTTATGTTTACCAGTACTTCACTGATATAACTATGACTACATTTGTCAACAGCACTGAGTAGAGTTCACTGCATATTCAATCTTCTTTAGGGGTCGTAATTCATAGATCTTCACGCGATTTTCAACTCAGGTTCTAGTATATAAGCAGTCAGTCTAAACTAATTATCAGTCACGAACTATCAAGTATACAAATACAACTGACAAAATTGGTTTTAAATAGAAATGGATGACACTGACAGGAATTTCTAAACCAAAACCAGTCATATTTGCAAACACAATGGATGATAAATCCAGGTTTTCCAAGTAAAAATGGAAGATGATCAGTGATACACTTTATATCGATTTTAGTAGGATAAACGTTGCTTTCAGGACGTCTTGTGTGCTCACGATTCCCAGCGATTTGACAGCCAAACGCAGAACATTGATTTTATTCCCATGGTTATTCAATATTAGACACGAAAACAATACCGCTGAACCAAGAAGAATAAGTGTATGGGTAGATGACTTAAAAAGAAGATTATATTTTTTCAGTTCTGCGTTCAGATAATTGTATTTGCAGTAGACGTAGAACATCACCTCGTTTTTCAGTGAGAAACGTAATTCCCTATCCTTGCTAGTAAAAACAACTGCAAGAAACTCTATGCATTCCTCTAGAGTTCTGTACATAAGAGAGTCTTGCAAAGTGTTTAGTACACACAACTCAGCTTCTATGATTTCATTTTTGAAAAACGGATGGCCCAATTTAAGCATGACCTTTTCTGCGTCTGACGTTTTAAGGATTTTATGTCTATAAATTAACTTTGTAACCACTTGTAGGACAGTGATTAGATAAAGTACAATTTTTTTCTTCTTTGGTAAGGAAGACTGGTCAAAATTAGTTATCAGTCCTTCGAACGACAAGTCTTTAAAGTAAAGGAGTAAAAATCTGTCAAACATCTCAATCGTTTTGAAAGCGACTTCATCAGGGGCGTTTAACAGCCTGCACAAATTCATAACAAAATCACATATGTTTTCACTGTAGAAAAGACCACGATATAAAGAGTAAGGTTTGATAAATTTAGGGTCAGGTTGGTTTGAAAACTTCAACCACTTTTGAAGCTCTTCATTGGTCAAGTCATCCATTCGATTTTTAAAAAGTCACTGAGCATCCTCAAAAGCTGAACGAAAGTTGCTATGGAAATCAAAATGAGCGGAATCCGTAAGTTTCAGTTTCGGTATTGAGATATCAATTTCGACTTTGCATGGCAGAATTAGCTCATTGTTTGTCCCTTAGGCCCTGCTACTGAATAATAATGGTTTATTCTTGGTTACAGAGATGTGTAAATCATGTTATATCTTTTCTAGAAACTGTAGGACGCAACAACTTAGTTTGTAATAGATGTACCCGCGAAGTAACTCTCAGAGCAATCCAACTTAGCATACACAGAACCATAGTAATGTTTAAGCTTTCTTAAGAAAATTTTCGCAAACGATGCCATTGCTAGGGATTCTAGTGGAGAGTTCCACAACTTGGGATGATATACAGGTTACGTGGAGATTGTGATACCGGAATATCCAGAAAGGTACGGTTTGAGCATTATTGTTATTCTGTAGTTAATATAATATAGAGAGAAGAGATTTCATGTTGTCCGGCCGTATATCTTATACGAGTATCCTCTTTTAATGTCGAAATCTTGTGGACTAACTTTTTATCTCTGGATCTGAAAATCATCTGTAAAGAAGAGTTTAAAAGTTAGAGGGATCATCAATGGACTAAAGAAAAAAGATTAATAAAGAGATTGACCCTCGCGGAACTTCACTTGTCACGGAAAACCATGTTGATAGAGTGGTATAAACTTTGATTGTTTATTATCACTCGCCCGGGGAATATGAGCGATGTGTAACCGTACACCCATAAAATTCGGTTTCTGTGACGAAGTACTATGGTCTGTCATATTGGGTGCCTTGTAGAAGTCTAGGAGTTCTCTATGGGCTGGGCGGTCATATCTCAGTGAGACGGTACAGTCGTTCAACACAGTCAGCGTGATTGCTTTGATTTTGAGTAGTAGGAATAAGAGGTCAGTCAACATATATCACTCCTTGAGGTTGACGATACCACAGGTATTGTAGTCTGGCAACACATTACCAGCAACACCTATAATTGAATCGCATCCGCCCAGTGAAATCAGAAGTCACCAAGTCCCAACTCGTGATCTGGTGTGGATGTATGACTGAGCGTCTTAAGCTAAGTGAGTCCATCAAAACTAATGTGGTCAGCATCCAGTATCAAACACTTACAAGAGCTGTTGATTCTGGGATTGATTTACCTCTACAAGGTACTGTGAAGATTCGATTTCTCTTTGAATGAACCAACAGAAGGTGCTGACATTACGTTTTCCTGAAGAGAATTCCAGTAATTCACTACTCGGTGCAAGAAACGGAACTCCAGACGTAGATGATTTGATCTCACTTCCTGATTTTTCTTAGAATGTCCTCTCGAATGACCAGTCCTTGATACAAGGTGAAGATAGGAAACATTAATACCAAGACCACCATTCAGTATTTAGTTAGCCAGTTACTATTCATCCTGCCACCTGTGGTAAGATAACGGAAATAGGTTGAGATGTCTAAGTTTGTCTGAACAAGAATGGTCAGCGAGACCCTATACCAGTTGGTCCCTTCCCACTGAATTTGCTTTGCTATATTCCCCTCATGTTTAAAATAAGGTCTGGTTGCTTGAATCCCATATTTCATATGAGTCCTCTCAAACGTCTGGAATTATACCCTAAACATTTCCTCCCCCAAGTTGTGATTTATGAATAGCTCATAAAATATGAAGTCTTTGGCAGCGGCGGTCTTACAGTTACTTCCAGTTTCAAGGTCACTGCTTGTTATCACTTCGCAAATCTTTATGATTACTGTTTGCATCACAAATTCGCTTATTGTTTATCGATATGAGTTTGCTTGCACCATTACACTCTTGCGGGAATCAGCTTTTTATGAACACTTATATATCCATTGAACCAGCAACTTTAAGTCATGTTGCAATTCTATTCCACCCATGGAGCTGTAGAGAGTAGAATGGATATTTACACAACTGGTAGGTCATTCGCAAGTTTGTGTTATATATACTGTCAAGTGGGGAACCATTTTGGGATGATCTGAAAACAGATTTAATGAGGAGGTATTTACGGAGAACTCATTAGTAGCTCTTTCTGTCATTTTTTCCTCTGCAGAGGGTGAAAAAATTAGTCAGCGGTTGGACGCTCTCCTTTATTTCCCCTTTGTTAACTGGCATCATTTATCCCCTTTCCCGACCAGAATTTAGTTTTTTCCTGACAAACAAACACATAAAGAGACTTTTAAAATGAACTCGAATGAGGACAAAAAGCTTCTTAAAATTCCCGGTGGGATTTATGTATGTTCCAGTGTCAAAGAATGTGTTGGATTCTAAGGAAACGAAACCACGAAGATTAGACTAGCATGGGAAGAAATGAGGCATAAATTATATTATAAATGAATTTTATTTTTTTTCCGGCAGTCTACAAATCCTATTACGGTGATGTGTTTAGTGTTAAGGAATCCAGATCCACAATGTAAAATAGGATATGTAACATTCTTTTTATGAAGCTACAGAGAAAGTTGTTTTGGTTTTCCATGAACATAATAAGACAATAATAATCTGTTATTCCACCTCACATAGTATTCTGAGTACAGTATCACCTGACACTTCGTTGTATAACCACTGGAGTGACAATTGTTTTTATACTTCTACTAACCGTTGTCCCTCTGTCTTTCCAAATCAAGATATTCCTCTTCTGTTGTCTTTTACATTACAGTCAGTCAACCTCTTGACTATTAGTTTAATAGCTGCTTGCCCTAGAAGCACTACCACCAAGGGACAAATGCACAAGTTACGATTACATAACAAACATGTCGACAAATGACAAACTAATCACTAACTAATCTCGAACTGCTAGACTAATCCATATCGTAGATTACCAAAGACATAGGACCTCACCGAAAAAACAAGGAGGGCGAAAGAAATTGGTCGGTTTACGCAAGGTTGATACAAATATAGTGTACATTGGAATTGACCCAAATGATTTGAATGGACAGAAGTGTCGGAGTAACAGGTAAACTGGGACATTTGGGAACTCGTAAAAGTATGGTCTACTTCATTGTTAGTACTGCTCTAATAGTAGACCTAGTCCTAAAATTGTAGACTTCTCATGATGTGACTGCATAATCCATAAGATCTTACAATGGAAATCACATCATTTTCTACAATGACTCATTGTATCGTAACAATCATCAACATATGATAGGGACCACATTTAGGTTGGAGATAGAAAAATATACTGATTATGAGTAAAAGTAATTTTACATAAGTACGACCACTCTTGCAAGGCCGAGCCCTGGCACCGGATGAACTGAATTTGGAATGAATGCTACCGCGTTCACCATTATTGACCTTCTCTTTGTATTACATGTTGAAAGTCTATTTTGTCGCTTATCTCGTGTTCAGCTTTGAGGATTGTGGTTACTATTCAATGCCACTACAAACTCAGTGAAAAAAGATGATAGTATGAGGTAGTGGTCATGTTGTATAAGTTACAAGACGTGCATCAGGTACGGATATCCCAAATGTGAGGTAGTAATTCATGCATGAGTTTATGGACATTGAGTCTGTTCCTGAAGCTTTATGCCTTGAGATTGTGGTCACTCCAACTGGGATGCCTTAACAAGTGAGTACAACTTTAAAACGTTTCTTGTACATTTATGTACAAATCTCTTATGCATACACTCCACATAGCAATATTTCTTTGATGCCCTCTGCACATAATGATTTCCTGTCGTCCTCTCCCCCATCCTCTTTCCTCTAGTGATTGACTGGATTATGAAGAATTCGACATCTGAGTAAAAACAAGGAACACAATGGATACCTCAGAATCAACTAGACGATTTGGACATGGCAGATGACCTAGCCCTTCTATCCAATACACACGAACAAATACAGACAAAGACAACAAACGCAGCCGCAGCCTCTGCATCAACAGGCCTCTACATACACAAAAGAAAAGAGAGATTCTCAAATACAACACGGAGAACAACAACCCAATCATACTGAATGGAGAAACTCTGGATGATATAGATACATTCACGTACCTGGGAAACATCATAGATGAACAAGGAGGACCTGATGTGGAGGTAAAGGCGAGGATTGGCAAACCAAGGGTCTCATTTCTACAAGGAACATATGGAACTCAAAACAACTGTCAACTAATATCAAAGTGAGAATCTTCAATACGAACGTCAAGACAGTCCTACTGTGCGGAGATGTTACGTGGAGAACTACTACAACCATCATCAAAGAGGTACAATTATTTATAAACAGTTGTCTACGCAAAATACTCAACATTCTCTGCCCGGATACCGTCAGCAACAGCGTTTTATCGGAGATGAGAAACCAGCTTTCAGCTGAAGAGGAAATTAGGAAAAGACGTTGGAAGTGGATAGGATATACATTGAGGAAATCACCAAACTGCATCATGAGGCAATCTCTAACTTGTAATTTTGAAAGTTAGCGCAAATGAAGAAGGCCAAAGAACACATTAAGACGAGGGATAGAAGCCCATGTGAAAAGGATGAATAACAACTGGAAGGATTGCTCAGGACAGGGTTGGATGGAGGATACTGATGTACGATCTATGCACCTCCACGAGGAGTAACAGGCGTAAATATGTTAACAAGTCTGCATTTCAGTACATTAATTCAACATCTTTTTCATTTGTTTGCGGTCTGAAACTGACTAACCTCCCTGAATGACTGTTTTAACGTTGGTTAAAAACTTGACGTTTTGATTTCAACTGTCTCACTGTGTAACTGTATTATCGACTGATCCCGCTTAATTTCAGTAATTTGAACCGTCCCTATTGGGATAAATATTAAGCTTCCTAATTGTTAAGAGTCAGTTGTGCTGGACAGTTAACCACTCCCTTATGATTGATGGAAGTCTTTTTTGAATAGCACTTTGTTCCCTTGTTCTAAGGAGTCTACTTACTGATTGTATAGTAGTTGCGGAATATTATTGATGTTTTAACTTACTGTTCTACAGCTGATCTGACGGGTTAGTTAATGTGACTATGGTTATGCCTGGTTGAGAAAGCGTCATCCAGATCTAATCTACTCATTTTTTAAAATAACATTGTC